ATTTAGACCAAAGCTCCACATCAAGGCTTACTGCTTTAGAATAATGATCAGTAATCCGCAAGGTAAAACTAAGATGCTGTCACATGACAGCTACACATTCAATTATGTGATTGCCACATTAATGTCTGTTTAAAGGAAATGCTAATCCAAACTGAAGTTTGACAATACTCTTCTCTCCTTAATAAGGCCACATAAGAGGAGGAAAGGGAGGGGCTGAAGGACTCCTGGGAATGAAGGATGGGGAAGAGAGAGAGAGGAGGCAAAGGGTTTGGGTGAGAGCGAGGGAGGAGGGCACAAAGGCAACAGGACAGAGCGGAGGAGGGAAGGGCTCAGGACGGAGAGGCCCGGCAGGTTCAAGTGAGTCCTGGTCGCTAAACTGATCCTGTGGCACTGGGGCCAGTTATCACGGGGCTTTGAAATCCTGATTAGCAGATTAACCCCGGTTCCCCAACAGTGAATGTGCTGTGGTCATTAACGACAAAACGCGCCACAGTTAGCATGTCTAGAGCATTTTAAAGTTCTGAAAAGGCTTTCTGGCCAATGTGTTTCTGTGGGTCACAACCTAAGGGAAAGACGTGTCACCACCCCCTTACCCCCCACAGTGAAAAAACAACCCACACTGATATCAAGAATTACAGAAGCAAACAAAAATGTTGGAGGAGCCCAGAACTAGAATTCACCGTAGGGAGGACTGAGGAAATCTCTGTGAGTCACTGGAGATGCCAGAGAAACCGACAGGCAGAGGAGGGAATGAGTTTCTCCAAAGAGAGAGCTGAAAGGTCCCTGACAGTTGGTATCAGAAATGACTAGGCAACCTGACAGTCAGCAGGCAGGTGGATAAGGTCGAACTGCTAACCGAAACTGGTCATGCCTACAACTGAATTCAGATCCTCAGAAGGCTAAGTCCAAGCAAAAGAATTCTTAGAGTATGAGAAGTTGGGGATGGAAGGGGAGGCCTCAGGTGTGGGCATTAGGGGTAAAAAAGGGCAAAAACAACACCCTGACAAAGTCAGGTGAGCAAAATCAAAGACCAGGAACTCTGACCTCAAATCTAAGACAATCTACTTCCGGCAATCTACTCTGACTTTAGCATTTATTCAGTCACTCACTCGCTCAACCGTACACTTACTGCTTGCTTGCAGTAAGTCTGCAAAGGTGCTATCCTCCCCAACGAGTTAAGTCAATCCTGTCTGGGCATTCACATCATAGGCTTTGAGCAGATTTCACAGGGATTTTTCTACATAGTGTTTGAGAATGGTTTTATCTGGTATGCATTTTCTCATTGATGGGATTCTTCTGGAATGTCTATAGGACCTGCACTTTTTGGACAGTTATGGGCCAAACTGTGTGTCCACAAACACTTGTATGTTGAACTCTTAACTCCTAGTAACTCAGAAGGTGACAATATTTGGAGACGGGTTCTTTAAAGAGGTAATTAAATTAAAATGAGGTCTTTGGGTGGGCCCTCATCCAATATAACTGGTATATTTATAAGAAGAGGAAATTTAGACACAGACACACACGGAGGAAGAACAGATGCGAAGACAGAGAAGATGGACATCTACAAGCCAAGGAGAGAAGCCTAGAACAGATCCTTCTGCCCTAGCCCTCAGAAGGAACCAAACCTGCCAATGATGCCTTAGTCCAGGTCTCAGCCTCCAGAACTGTGAGAAAACACACTTTGTTGTGTAAGCCCCCGGCCTGTGTACTTTGTTAGGGCAGCCCTAGCAAACTAACAGACAGGCACAGGCAGACACGCTCCTGTTAGGGTGGGCACAGGGGGTCTGAGGCAATCCGAGCCCAACAAAGATTCACCAATAATCCTCCCTCCAGGCCACCTACCACCCTCTGCCTGCTTCTTACCTGCAGTGATTTACTTTCTTACGGTGACCAGTATCCAAGTGCCACACTGGGTGCTGACTCTTGGCCAGACTCCACACCGCCCGGAAAGGACCACGCCTGTCTGGCTGGTCCATCTTTGCTTCTTCAAATCACTCCTCAGGAGTCACCTCTCCTCTACCGTGCTTACACACTTTGAAACAGAATTCTTCTGGAAGCATATTCTGAACTACTCTAGACTTTTGTTCCTGAACAAAAAAGACACAACAATATATATGCTTCCCTCGGTTTCATCTTGAGAGTGTGTAAATAAGCCCAGTGGGTTACCTAATCATTCCAAACTTTGAGGACTTTAGTTATCTTCACAGTTTCTCCTCAGTCTGGTCTCTCTGTCCTCACGCCACCTCAGCCACTCACCAACAAGTAGGTAACACCCTTAGGCCCACCGTGTGGATCAGCCTTCAACACAGGAGGAGGAGGAGACAGTCCTAGTACCAGACTTCAGAGATCTCAGCAGGCCTCTCCCACTAATCTGCACAATTCCCTAAAATTCTCCCATGAATTAATTTACTTTGGGCTCAAGGAGGCTTCAGCTCAAAGACCTCCAGAAGATAAGTCACTGCCAGCCATGGATGCCACTGACAGGACTCACGTGCGACTGTTTGCTAACAGATGACAGACAGCAAGCCGGGCACTGAGGAAAGGGGGCAGAAGAAGATTTGGAAAGGGAGACCCGGAGGGCAGAGGAGCAGGCGCCGCACATGGAACAAGCCTGTCAGGGAGGCTAACAGCAATGAAAAGGAGGCAGAACTCACGGCCTCATTTTAAGGTCAACGATTCTGAAGCCCAGATGACTGAGTGACTAGCAAGCAACAGAGCTGAGTCCTTCTAACTCCTAGTCCAGCTGTTTTTATGGCATAAATTAAGAGTTCAATCTGAAGAAACACAGATCTAGGGGAAATCCAAACCCTGAGACGGGTTAGTTTCAGAATCTTGTGCAAGTTACTTGCCCCTCTGAGTCTCAGTTTCTCTTCTGTAAAATGGAATGCTATAAATATCTCCCGAACAAAGGAACATAGAACATAGAAAACACACAGCAGATGTCAGCTGTGAGCTCTCCTCACAAGTGCACGGTGACAGAAAGCCACAGTTCTAACCCTGCCACCTGTCAGAATCACCTGAGGGGTTTCCCCGACTATACCCAGGCCTCTTGCCAGACTATGAATTCAGACTCTACACATATATGATCCGGACACTCGTATTTCCTCTTTCTCTCTTCCTTTCTTTCTCTCCTTCTTTCTTTTTTCAGTTTTTCTTTTTTATAAGTCTCTCGGGTGATTGTGATGCAAAGCGCCACAGTTAAGAACAAATGATCTGAAGCAGCATTTCCCAAACTGTAACATGCATTCACATCACCTGAGGATCTTGTTAAAATGCAGATTCCGATTCAGTGGGGCTGGGGCGGGGTCTGAGATCCTGCATTTCCGTCACACTCCCAGGTGACGCTGACCCTGCTCCTGTACAGGCTGCAATTCGAATACCAAGGATACAAAGATTAACACGGGAGAGAAAAGGGGTGACAAGCAAGAGGGGACCAAAATAACAACCGAACCCACAGACCTAATACAGAGTTGGCCCCTTCAACATCATTCAATGACACGATAATGAAGAGCAATAAGCACAGCCTGACACACAGCAGACTTCTATCAAACAGGAACTATCACTATTCGTCACAGCGGCCACCCTCACCAGTGCAGAGGAGAAGTACGTAAATGTTTTCTCCCCCGCTGACCATCACCTCTCTACTTGGCCCCCACTCCCCTGTGAAACTTGCTCCCCCTCCTGCCTTTATTTAATTTCTGGACTAAAAAGACCTCTTCCTTCAATGGAAAGGCCCTTCTTGACAGATGGTACTTACTTTTCACGTTGGATTCCCTTGCCCCCCTGCTCTGTTTCACCAGCCCCGGATCAGCGCCTTCATCCACTTGCTTCACCCCTGCATGCGGGACCACACACCACTGGGGAAGTGGGGCACCACAGCGAGTCGGCCCACCGTAGGCCCACGTGTGCCTTGGTTCACAAACCCTGCTCAGGACATGACTCCTCCCTCACTGACTCCTTGGTTTTATTTCTCCAGAGAAATGACTTAAGATTTCATCTAACTTTCTGTATTTCGTAATTTCTTTCTAAAAATCTTGGATTACATGCTCCTGAGAAGACTTGGACGAACAGGAAACTGGTTTATTCTCTTCAACTTGCCCTAGGGCAGTGGTTTGCAATCCTGGCTGCACATCAGAATCACCTGGGGCCCCCACCCCCACCCTCACCCCATGGCGCCCTCCCACTTCACTCAGATTTAGTTGTCTGAGGTGGGGCCTAGTAATGTGTGGTCAAAGGTCAAAAACCATTGCCGTCGGGAAGCCATATTATTCCCAACTAGGAACTGAACAGGAACAAGCTGCCTCTCCACCAGGAAAGCACCATCCCTAGTGGGGAAGAGAGAGAGGCGAGTTCCTATCTTAAATTCACTTTCTTCTGTGATGGTTCCCAGAATGAAGTTAAGGGAGTTCTGGAAGCAGGGAGGAGGCCAATTCTAAAGATGTAACAACTTATGGTTCATTAACCTCAACTTTGGAAGGCTGGACCACTTCTCTAGGTCTTCAACGGAGCCAGGTACAGAGAAGCTGTCGACTCTGTAGACTGAGTCACTCACTGGCAAAGAACGGGCAGGAGAATCCCACTGCCGTCTCCACCCCCGTGAGCCATGGACTGCAGGCTTACAAGGACACAATTCTTCACCATGCCGACTGAAAAAAAAACTCACTTTCCCACACAGACAACTACATGCGTGACTTCAGGAGTTTAAAGGGCAGCTAACACAGCAGAAAGCTCAACCAAAGAATACAAAAGAAAGTTTCTGATTTTATCTATATTCCACCGAAATATTCTTCCCCCAAGATAGACTTCAGCTGAACACACCCAGTCTACTAAGTCTGGACAACTAAAGAGAACTAAATTGAATAGAAAATGATAGTCAAACACTAGAAATGAACAGAATACATTTTCCTAGTTAGAGAAATTAAGGCACTCAAGAAACAGCTGTAATCTCTGCAAATAAATCTTCTCCCATCACGTAATCCCTGTAAATGAAAACATCATACCTGATGAGATCTGGTTCTGCACCCTCGTTCTTAAAGGATGCCAGAAGTAGTCTCTCTCGAGTTACAAGGTCATCCAACAGGTTCTGTCTTCGGTCTCCTTCAAGCTGTGTTCTGCAGACATCTTGTTAAGGTCCAACGGTGGGTGAATTACCTCATTTTACCTATTACGTTATTGAGTAAGCTCTCCAAGTCAGTTGTGACTGTTCCAGACCCTAATCAAAACTATCCAGAAGAGATCTGTACCTTTCTTCTCCTGCTCTGACCTGATCCTTCAAGTAAAGGACCTTGACAGCGCCACAGGAGGGGGAGTTAAACACTGACATTAGATCTCCCACGCAAGCTCCCTCGTTGAGAAATATACTAGGTGAATATTCTTTCCCTCCCAGTGACCAACACTGAATGATTATTCCTGTCAACAGGACCATCTGACTCAGTGATTCGCTAGGTTCTGAATTATAGGTGGTCAGTGGTCCAGGGCATTTTCCTAGACATCAGTACCCTAAGATACGCTGTAAAAAAAAAAAAGAAAAAAGAAAAAAGGGGGTAAAAAATGTTCTCTATATTGCTGTCTTCCATGTTAACACCTATTAACACACCTGGAATATATTTTGTAAAGTGCTACTTTGCACAACAGATTTGCTCTAAAAGTAGCTACCGTCAGTTCATTATTTAAATACACAGCATGATATTTAACTCTAGAAAATTACAGAGAAATAATCACGTTTTCATGCGTTATTCTCGTAAGCATGTTAAACTAGGAGCCCAAAGCCTTTCAGTCCTATTTTAACCACCGACTATGACCTTGAACCAGTTACTGCTCCTTTTGGGATCCGTTTCATCATATGTGACGCCAGATAACCTCGAACACCTCTTCCAACACAATTCACAAATTATGGTTAAAAAAACAAATCAGGACTAAATCCAAAGTTTTATAAACTAGCTTTCCTGAAGCAAACGACATTAGTCCTTCCAGGCTGAGAGTGTATGTGTGCATTTTAAAAAACAAAGGAAATGCTGATGGAGAAAACTTCTGCCATAAAAAGAATAAGTGGAGAAGCCCAGGAATATTTTTGGAAGGACATACCTGACACAAGACATAAAAAGCACAAAAATCAGCCACCTCAACACACTGGGTTTTATTTGGCTTTCCCTCTTTTATTAAATGGCTTTCGTTTTATTAGAGCTGACATTCGAGCGAGTCAGAGTTGCCCCGGCCACGGTTACCTAGCTCTGGACAGTAAGACATTAGTGAGACTGCTGCTTTAGAGTCATAGACACTTTCCTTTCTAAAACAGGAATACCAAACACTGCATATAGGCTCCCAAAATTTGAGAAATTGGCCGAATCAATTGGGAAAACAATGGCCCTGTGAATACACAACTTTCGTTACTAATTTTGAATAGAAAGAGCTGGCTTACTAGGAAAAGAGTAAATACATCCATAAAAATTTTCCCCAGTAACAGATAGTAGTTAATAAAATCATAAACACCCCAAACCAAAGCAGCTAAGCAGTGTTAGTGGTTTTAAATATTAAAACAATAATAAAAAATAAATTCTCTCAACATTCCAGAATGCCAGGCTTTCCTGAGTAAAATTTCTACCCTTGCTTTTCCATTTCCTCCTTGACTACAGTCACTAAGGACCCCATCTTAGGAATCACGAAGTAGCAACTGTAACTAAGAAACAGTGAGCTTAAGTACTTCCTCTGTATTAATAAAAGGGCTGAATATTAGCCCTTTGATCAACGTAATGTCAAGAATAAATATCGATGTGTTTCAAATTAGTGGTAAATTGTCAACAAAGCAGAAGACTTTTCTTCTATCTAAAAGAAGCTGCTCAGAAATAAAAAAAACGACGACCTAAGTTATGGCATGAATTATACAGGACAAAATGGGAATTATAAATTGTGGAAACTTAATTATATCACAATACTAACTAGCCTCGTCTTATGTTCTGTGCTCAACCTACTCTGGCAACCTGTGGTTTTCAGTACCCAACCATCCAAGCAAACATAAGCTGAACTATAACCCAACGTTACAATTAAGCACAGATTTAACTGGCTCGAGGGTTTAAACATAAAAAGTAAAATTACAGAAGTATTATTATAAGAAGACATTAGAGAACTTTTTACTAACCTTGGAGGAAGAAAGATGTTTCCAGTCAAGACTGAAAACATAGAGGCCATGAAGGAAAAGATAAATCTGACTAAACAAAAACCTAAACTATCTGCAAAATGAAACGACGAGCGACAAATTGAGGCACATAAAAAAAGCGGAAGACATAACAGAGCACAGAAAAAAGAAACACTAATAACTCTAATCAAACAGAAAAACACTTGGTAAAAGAAACGCCAATGGAAACGGTATCATTTCCACCTATCAGGGCAACAAGGAAGTTTTGGAAAGCTCGGAGGAACCAGGCACTCTCTGACATTCTTGGTGGGAATGTAAACAGGTTCAACGAACCGCCAGATTGCCTTCTAAATATCTAACAAAACTTAAAAGGCACATTCTTTCCACAGGAATTTCTCCTGCAGATATATTCACACATCTCCACAAAGACTTAGGAACAAAGTTGTTCACTGCCGAATTATTTATAACAGCCAAATACTGGACATGTCCTACAGTCCATCAATACAGAACTAGCAGATATATATAAGAGAACGCCTTGCAGCCTAAAAAGAAAAAAGAATAGAAACACTTTATGTACTGATGATAATGATAATTAACATTTCCGAGCACTTACTAAGTGTTTACATGAGTTATTTGATATGGAATAATCTCCAAAATACAGTGTTAAACCAAAAAAAAAGCCCTTCTTTTTTAAAAAGATTAATGGCCTTTCTGCATAGAAAAGAGATAAACAGTGAACAGTATGCTCCCACTCTCACTGATTTAAAAAAAAAAATCAGACAGACATATCTATGTTTTTATAAACAGAAAATTTCTGGAAGGATACACAAACAACTATCTCTAAGGAGCGGGAATGGGGATTTCAGGGTGTGACGGAGACGCGTTTCATTGAACGTTTTGTATTGTTTGACTATCATATGTTAATTAAAAAAACAAGTTTCAGAATCACGTATAGTATGATCCCTTTATAGTCAAAAGAATTTATATTTATATGCATGTAATTTGTTCATGCCTAGAAAAGTCTGGGATGGCAAGTACCCACAATCAATATTGTTAACTGTAAAGAATGAGATGGAATAAGACGGGGAGGAGGAAGAGACAGAAGAGTCACTGGTAAAAACTAACAATAAGAAGTGTATAGGTAGAAATACTGTACTTTTTATAATAAAAATAATAAAGACAAGTTTTAAAACTTAGACACTAGTTACAGACAAACTAGCTAAGAATGGACTGACTTACTCAAAGAACGTCAGTTTCAAGAGCGGTAACTTGGCGATTACGTTTTGTAGACGAGCAACTGAAGAACAGAATCACACAGCTGATGCTGGAAGAGGCCTCAGAGACCCCCTAATCCAACTCTCTCGTCCTCCTGACCAGGAAACTAAGGCCCCGTGTGGCCAAGTCGCTCGGCTGGTTAATGGTAGTTCTGGGCTAGAGCCCTGCTCTTTCTGCTCTAGGTCAGGGCTCTTCCACCACATCATGCTGGGCTTGACACCACACACTCCGGGGCTTCTCCACCCTGAGGCTCCCAGTACTGCCCACTTAACTTTGTCACTTCTTAGCATCCTGTTGGAAACAATAACAATACTAGTAATACTGATTCAGAACATTCCCAGAGACTCCCTGTAAATCTGGGAAAACTGGAAAACTAACCAATTAGGAACACTCTACCTCTTTGTTTTATTTTCATTTTAATCTATTGAGGGAACAGAGCATAAGGAATTGTGGGGTTGGAGTGCAGCATAAACAGATTAATGGCCCTTCTACATAGCACACTTACTATATAGGGGTTGTTGTTAACAAGAGGTCAAAGAATCATCCCGGCGATGATCATACTGCATGTATGGGGACTCACGGTAGTTGGTGGGAGTGGGAATAGGGTAGGGAAGGACAACTAGAAAAGAGGGCACACAGCCAGCGGCCAATGCTAGGATTTCCTCTTTCATCAACTTGGTGAATAAGCAAGGAAGGTCAGAGAACAGACAAATAAGGAAAAGGGAGCTCTAACTACCATAGCACTTTGTCATTGGCTAGGCTGACTTTACATGTAACAATAGCCAATTCATGGAGATGTAAGGCTGTAAATGAAATCGGATGCTGATTTCATATTACCAATGGACTTAAGACCAGCTTCTCTGCTGTCACCTGATAAGCACTTTGAACCTAAGATGAAGTGGAGCGAAGACGGTGCTGGACTCATAGATGCCCACCCCGACTCCAGCTCCTGGACTGTCTTTATTTGGTAGAAGGCGTAAGAATTTAGGCAAGCCTTACTTGTGAATTAACTGCTCTGGAGAAGAAAGAAGTTTGCAGATAATTACTCCTGAGTGCCTAACAGAAGAAACGCAAGGAGACAGTTACAAAGTGTCCTAGAGGCCAGAAGATTTTTCTGGCTCACATAGTATGTCATCTTTTTTTTTAAGTTAACAAACTCTATCGAAAATCTATTATGAACCAGGCCACATCCCTACCTTCCTCAGGCACTGATCACATTTTGCAAGTACTATTTTAATACTATCATTGTCTGTGCGCTTTGATACAATCTCCTTACGTGATTATAAACTCCAAAAGGAAGGACTACCTGGAAATTCTCAATGGTAGCCGTAATTTTTACAACATTGAAAAATAATAAGTAGTAGCCACTCCTCGAGGAGGACTAACTATATTGGAAGCACCTTCTATGGATAGAATTTAATCCTCCCAACGATCCTATTACCCAGATGTACCTTTATTATCCCTATTTCAGAGATGAGAAAAATGAGGCACAAAGAGGTTAAGTCTCTTATCCAAGGTGACACAGTAAGTGTTGAAAACTAGCTTGTATTCAACACCCACCACTACAGAGGTCTAGTCCTGCGAGGTGCTTTGAAATTACTTTCTCCAACTTTCACAACATCCTTGCAAAGTAAGTATGATTATTCCTACTCTACAGATCATGAAACTAAGGTCCAGAAAGGCTAAATTGCTCTTTGGCCTTGAAGCAGTGGCAGAGCTGGTCTTCAATCTCAGTTCTGTCTGGTTCCAGAGCTAGTGTGGTTCCCACTATGCCAACGGCGCCCAGGCCTTTGGATTTCACGGAGCATAAATATTTCCAAACAAACTGGAGAAGGAGGGAGACTTATATAAAGTTACCGATTATATACTTTGCCAGGTATGGAGATTCAAAAATACAGTGACCGACAAAACTACCACCGATTTTTACTATCAGGGTAAAAAAAAAAACCCTGGAGATTTTAACACCAAAAACTAGAAAGAATGTAACATACTATAAGTCAGAAAATTTCTACTGACATAAACACTATCTTGCCCTTCTTTTTCTCACAACATCAGGCACCAGTGAAAACCAGCACAGACAGGTGCGGTGCTTGAGTACAACTTCACCTCCACTGGAGCCACGAGGGGCGATGCCCACAATCTGCTCAGTCAGCCTCTCAACGGCCGCATTCATGCGGGTCTGTTAACGGTGATTGCTGTAGCTATCTATCCACCTACCTACCTGTCTACCTGTCTTTTCTCCCCCAAAATACAAAGTGGAGAAAAGTTACTTGTACTTTAAAAAATTATTTCTACAGGACTTCTCCCAAGACACCAAAACACCTTTTGATACTGAACCTTTTTATAAAGAGAATTTTTCATTCCCTTTAAAGTAGTAAAGGTACTGCCTTTGAAAACCCAACAAAAAGCCAAGCTTCACAGAAGGCCACTTCTAGGAGTCATTTTCGTACTACATGACATTTCACATCCAGCCTGCCATAGCAGGCACCTTTCCATAACTGGTGAGGCGACGACAGTTCCCATCTCCGAGAAGGAATGTGACTAGAAGTTAACGTTTTTCAGCAGTTTTAAACCTATGGCCGCAGGACTCTGGTTTATGAATTGCAAACTAACCAATTCAACAGCACAGAACTTTCATTTTAATTTCACATTTATTCTTGCCAGGAGGAAAATACTTTTTCAGGAACGAGCAATAATATCATATGCCTAAACTCCATGAATTTAATTGTTTGGAAGGCATTTCCATAGGACTTATCTTTCTGGCGAGTCCTAGTGTTCTTTGGAAAACTTCACAAAGGCATAAATTTAAGTAAAGTACCATAAACTCTCAACCACCCAACACAGCAAGGAAATATGGTATTCACATATTCACATTAAAAAAAGGCACCCAACATTAATTATGCCTCAAAAAACGATTAAAAAGTCACTCTGCTGGTGATTTATGGACAAAAATTTTTCTAAGAATTACAACATCATAAAGTATACCTAATAAACCACAGTGAACAGTTTAATCTTTCTGATGATTAAGAAGGGTCTTGAGGATTTGCATTATAAACAGGATTTGTCTTGGCACTACTGCAACATGCCAAGTCATAGGGAATTCTAGCTGAACACGTGCCAGGTGACAGTTGACTGTATTATTTCTACTCAAGCAGAATCCAGCTTTTAAACAACTGGCTTTGGGGCCAGACAGCCCTACGTTTGAATCCCAGCTCTTCCATTTCCCAGCTGTGGGGTCCGGGGCAAGTTACTTAAACTCTCAAAGATTCCTCTCCTCAGTGTAAAAAACGCCTCTGCTGGAATGCTGTGTTCTCTTCCCAACTCCACCAGTGACTTGGGCGCAAAGTGTGATCTGGCCTCAGTACCTTTTTTGTAAAGAAGGGAAGGAACCACCAAAACAAATTAATAGTATGAAGTTATTGGGACTCACAAGTTGCTATCTGATATATCTTAAATTTGGAGGATAACTGTCATAGAATTATTTAAAATGTTTGGGAGAGGAAGGTCAGGGAAAGGGAAGATGAGAGGAAGAGGAGGAGAATTAAAAAGAGGCCTTTGTAAATAGAGGCTACTTCCTTCTTTCCGTTCTACCTAAAGAAATGGTCTCCCTGAAAATAGAGGTTTACAAGCGCCCCGATGGGGTGGCTTATCTGAATCCCATCCCTAGTACTGGTTGCAGTTTCAGTAGAAATAGACCCAATTATCTGAAAAAAGAAACAGGATTTTAAAGAAAGCTGTCATATTCCAGTAGAGTTTTTAATTTCTCCTAGAATATTCGAAATTATTCACATTAAGGTCCTTAAATATTTTCATAACGTATTTAGTATCTCTGTTGGGTGTTTTTAAATGCTTGGTGCTTAATTCAGCAAATCCTGAAATCACCAGAAAACTAAAGTCTATGATATTTCAAAAGATGGTAAGACTACAAGCATTTAGAAGAACAAAGTCAATTGTTACTGTAGCATGCTTGGTACTCTCCATAATTAATAACTAGTAGAAATTATTAACAGAAAAAGTTAAAAGTTAATTTGTATTTTTAAGTTTAAGCTCTATGAGTTTAGCACGTAAATGTTTTAAGATGAATAATCATCAGTTACCTTAACCAAAGTTAGCAGATACATAGTTACTAATACTACATCGTGAAACAACATTTAGTTACCTTTCTAATATATGTGCTTAGGTAACACTAAAGTGAGCTGGTACACCTTGACAGCACGTGCAGACTTCCTAGTACCTGGTACTGAGAGTGGAGAAAACAGCCCTGCCAATTTGAAACTACTTGAGGTCTATATATTAAGAGTTGTTGATCTGGATAAAATAACTCTTTCTATAATAGACTAACTGTGTGGTAACAAACGATACCAGATGGAGGGTAAAGTTACAAACTAAATATATCAGAATATTCCAACTGTGTTAAAAAGAAGACCCCAATTGTTTACTGAAATTAAACTTTTATTTGAAACCTTAGTGGGTTAATAATTGAATATTTAGAAATCATGCAACTAATCTAAACCAACCACCCTGGGGACATAAAAGGGTTACAGTTGGATAAAAATATTTTTTAAAACATCTTCTACTGTTTTAAATCTATCTAAAAAGCTATATTCCTACATTTCTCCATGTTTGAAATTGAGCAGTAACAACCATTTCCTGAGATACCAAAATATGGGTTTTTAGTATGAACTAGTGACAATTTAAAGAAATGATATGAGAGGACAAGTTTGAGGTCAGTTTTCAAACCAATAAAAACTCAGGTTTAAAGGATTAGTTTACGGAGAGGGTCACATGTATTTTCCTAAATTGATCAGATTATGAATTTAAAAAAAAAAAAAGAAAAGAAAACGTTTTAATACCTGACAGTGTTGGTGGGATGCTGGGGTGACAGCACAACTTGCTTCAAGCAAGTGCCCCTGGTCCCCCCAAAAACTCCCAAACCAGGGGCAGTGTCTATACCTCTGGAAGAATAATAAGGCAAATAAGTCACATCTCAGTAATCTACATAAACAGGAAAAAAAAAAAAAGACGTATGGTTTCTAACTGGTATTGGCCTCTTGGAAAAGAAAACAGCTCATTGAAAACTCTGGAAACTCCAGAAGCGGAATCACAGCTCAGGATTATCATGGAAGTTTTCCTGTTGGAGCAGCGGCTAAGCATCTTCGAGGCAGTCTAGACAGGCAGCAGTGCCAGGCTCTGTGTAAGGATGGCACTGACAGCAAGCATAAGCTGTCTACACTGTAAAGGTTACACTCAAACAAGTTAATTCCTTCAGTGTGTCTTGCTTCGCCAGCATATTCACTGTAAAACATGTAACAGACACTTAAAATAGAAATCAAGATTATAGGCAATATTTTGGAAACCAGGTCTTCCTCAAGCTGTGGAAAAATCTGGGTGGCCCAGATTCCTTCCTTTCTTAAAATAAGACTGCTTTTCCTCCCACTCTAGAAAAGAGGTGGAAATGTTTACATGGATACATCTGACGTGTTGACACAGCTCTTAGCAATAAGTCCTTCAAAAGGGCGATCTTTTCCTTCAGATTCTGCAACAAAGCTCTGATTGTCACGGTAAGCTGAAAAGAAAAGAACACATCCTAAGTATGCTAGTCCAGAGGTGTCGGATCTACTAAAAATATCATGTAAACGCTGCTTTACATACTGGGATCCCGTCAAGGAAGGGCTGGAGGAGACGCTGAGCCTCCCAGTGACAACCTCAGCATCTGAGGAATCCTAACGGTCATCTGGGCCAGCCCCCACCTAATGCTTGGTAGAGCACCTGCTCTACCACCTGACCAGGTAGCAAGTCAGACCACACCTGAACACTGACATTGACTGGAAACTGTCACTTTGCCCTCACAATCAGCTCGATTCTGTCCCCTGAGAGTCTACCCTCTGATCCGACTTGTCTACCTTGGAGCTGGGCAAGAAACTGTGTTCCCCAGTCTTCGTTCACCAGCAAAGACTCCAGGGTTCCCTCAACTATGCCTCAAGTGACAAGACATCAAGTCCCATCGCCATCCCAGCCAGTCTTCTCCAAATACACCGGTATATTTATGGCCCATTTAAAAGTTTTATAGCAGTGTGTTCTTTTTATACAAAAGAAATGTTAACCACGCATGACTTTTTTCAGGCGGGTGTGAATTTTCTCCAATCATTCCACAAACCCAGAGGAAGTTTTCATCTGTGACTCTAAGTGTGACCTTAAAGGATGGAGGAGGAGTGGGGAGACAGCCTCTCAGGAATTTGGAAACATGAAAAATAAGACTGCCCACATAAATCAAACATAGTTAACCATGGATGAAATCACAGATAGGTTAAAAGACAGACTATCACAGGTTTCATTTCCTACCCTGTTAAAAGCAGCAGCTATACAACTGCAGTGGAGGCAGGGGCTTCCTCCTGAGATCAGCCGAGTGCCCCTCAGGAAAAGACAGCAGAACACCAGGGGCTGGCCAAGGGCTACACACATCAAGCAACCCTCCAAGGCTTCAGCAGCCAAGAAAAGTCTGACCTCTGGGAACCATGGAAAAACCACCCACAACGTTTATGGGGGAAACACCAAGGAAAGCAGATCTGTCCTCATTCAACAAGTAAAGAGCAAAATAAACAAACAAAAAAAGCACAACACATGCACGCACACGCACACACATACACACACCCCAGGCCTAAGAAGAGTCTACAAAATTAAACACCAAAAGCATTCAAGAGATGAAAGATATAGCGGGTAAAAAGTATAACTCAGGGGCTGGCCCAGTGGCACAGCAGTTAAGTTCACATGTTCCACTTCGGCAGCCCAGGGTTTGCCAGTGCGGATCCTGGGTGCAGACCTACGCACTGCTTGTCAAGCCATGCTGTGGCAGGCGTCCCACATATAAAGTAGGGGAAGATGGGCACGGATGTTAGCTCAGGGCCAGTCTTCCTCAGCAAAAAAGGAGGACTGGTGGAAGATGTTAGCTCAAGGTTTATCTTCCTCAAAAAAAAAAAAGTATGACATCTAAATTTGTTAACATAGAAAGATATCCATCATAATTTATTAAAAAAGAAAAATATCAAGTCATAAAATGAAATGTCACCTACACAGAGAAGAAAAAATCCAGAAACTAAATACATCAAAATGCCAGGGCTGGTTATCTCTAACTAGTGGGATTTCTTACTATTTTATAAGAACACAATTACTGTTACAATCAGGAAGAAATTTCCGTTATCATAACTTAGAAGCTTTCCAAAGCATAGAAAAAAGATGGAAAGCCTAATTCATATTTTAAGCTAACACAACCCTGGTAACAAGCACTGACAGAGATAACATAAAAAAGGAAAGCACATGCCAATCTCCCTTAAGGATTGTAAATGTAAAAGCCTTTAAAAAATATTAGCAAACAAATACAGAATTACATTAATAAAGACAATATATCATCACCAAGTAGAATTTATCTAAAGAACAGCTTGATGTTAGAAAATCTAATAATGAAGCTAATACTGTTAATGATTAAAAAGAGAATAAACATGATTAATACAGCAGAGGGAAATTAATTAAAAATAAAACAAAAACAAAGAAAGAAAGGAATGGAATACTACTGCCTTAACTGCAATATTATTTAATTTTGGTCTAGAAGTTCTAACCAATGCAATAAGACAAGTTAAAGAAATAGAAAAGGGTTAGAAAGAAAGAGATGAAGTTATTATTTGTAGATTCGATAACAGCTTATTTGGGAAAGTTAACAGAATCGACAGAAAGATTACTAGAAACAGGGAAAGAATTCAGTATGGTGATTAATCACAAAATGAAAAAAATCAAGGGCATTCCTAAATTCAAGTAATAGCTGGGGATAATTTTTTTTAACTATTTTTTTTAAACATCATTAACCATATCAGTAAAATCTAAAAATATCTAGCACAGTGCGTGGCACATAGTAACGGCAGGACGTATTGCAGAAGGAATGAGTAAAAGGCAAATGCTCCTCCATTTAATCTGTAAACATACTACGCATCTATTCAAAATCCCATTTGGAGTTCTTTTACTGGAGAGGAGGTGGTCACTGAGGCACAGCACAACATTTGTTAATGAAGCCACACAAAATTACTCTAAAAGGAAAAATGAAAGAAAATAGAGAAAAATCACGAAAATGTATAGTAAAGGGGGCCTTAAACAATCAGATATTAAATCTCTATTAAAAAACTACAAGAGTATGGTGCTGGCAGTTACCAACAGCTTCATTAGTACAAAAGAAATGAAAGTCCACAAACAATGCAGTTGTGGAAAAATTTAGTGAGTGAAATATGGAATATTTCCTATCTTTGGGGGAAGAGAATTAATAATTTAGCAAATGGGAAAAAAATAAAGCTAGATGCCTATAATACACCAAAATTTTTAAAGACTTACCAAGTATTTTAAATTTAAATACCAAGTATTTTAACACTTACATGGTTTTCAAAAAATAAAAACAGAAGAAAAGCTTAAAGAAAATTTAGATAATTAGGTACAATATTTATATAACTTCTGGGTGTGAAAGGCCTTTCTAAGCATTATCTCCCCACCCCATAAGAAAAGACCACAAATAAAAATACTGATAATTTCAAATAAAATTTAAAAACAAGTACATGTTTTAAAAAAAAGCCAAATTAATAGAAAAAATATTTGTGCCAAATATGCCAGATCAAGGCTTAATATAGTTAACATATATATATAAAACACTTTGAAATTAAGAAATAATAAGTTAGGTTTAGGGCATATATATACAGGCAATTCATAAAGGAAGAAATACAAATATCCAATAAGTATATGAAAAAATGGTCAATAGCATAAGTAATAAAAAAATGCATATTTGGGGCCAGCCCTGTGGCTGAGTGGTTAAAGTTCACACACTCTGCCTCAGCAGCCTGAGGTTCGCAGGTTCGGACCCCAGGCACAGACCTACACACCACTCATCAAGCCATGCTGTGGTGGCATCCCACGTACAAAAGTAGAGGAAGATTGGCACAGATGTTAGCTCAGGGACAATCTTCCTCAAGCAAAAAGAGGAGGATTGGCAACAGATGTTAGCTCAGGGACACTCTTCCTCACCAAAAAAAAAGAAACAAACAAAACTTTCACATGACAGAAGATACCATAAGCAAGGTCCGACTACAAATGATAAAGGAGAGGAAATAATTACAATATACCACAAAGAGATAATCTCCCTAATATGTAGGGAACTCTTAAAGACTAAAAAGATGAACAATCCAAAAGAAAAATAAGCAAAAGACACAACGTTAGTTCACAGAAAAATATATATAAATAGCGCTTAAGCATGTGAAAACATACTTCACTTAATTCGTAATATGAAGAATGCAAATTTAAAACTACTCTGAGATATCCTCTCTCACTTATCAGATTGGCAAAAATTCAGAAGAGTCACAGCACCCTCTGGTGGCCAGGGTGTGAAGGAACAGAAACTCTCACACATTTCTGGTAGCGGTGCCAAAGGTAACAAGCCCCCTGGAGGGGCATTTGGCAACAGATAAAAAATCACGTATGCCCTGGTTCTGAGAACTCATCCTTAAAAGACACCTCCAGAAATACCAGGGAAAAAAGCAAAAACAAGTTTTTGATTGCAGCATTACTCCTAACAGCAAAGGACTGGAAGCAACCTAAAGGCCCATCCTTAGGAGACAGGTCAAATGAACAATGGTCCATCTACACAATAGAGTACTACACGGCCCTAAAGAAGAAGACAGGAGATCTCAATGAATTAATATGGAGAGAATTCTATGATATGTTATTAAATAAAAAGAGCAAGATACAAGAGTATCTTTTTTGTAAAAGGAAGAGAAATAAGAATATACACACAGAGAGAGGTGGTTATTTTTGGAAAGAGTAACAGAATAAACCAGAAATTAATGAAAACAGTTACCTCTAAGAAGTAGGTGGAGAAGGAATGGAAAAGAGTGGGATGAGAACAAGACTTCGAGAGTACTTTGGTATATAATTTTGACTTTTGAACAATGTAAATGCTTTACATATTTAAAATGAAATCGGCAAGGTTAGGGGAAAAAGCAAACCCTAAAAATCAATATAAACAAAGGGAAGAATAAGACCGAAAAAAAATAATCAATTCTAATAACTTTAGAACAGAACAGCCTCAGTAGTCTTAGTGGGGGATTCTAAGTTAAAAAAAAAAGACACAAATCGCAAACTTTACTTAGTGTTTGTAGTGGTACTTGTGCAGTAATTCTGAAACTATTTCTGTAAACGCTAAGATAGACCAAATGAGCAAAAATATGTTGATGCTCTTGGAAACCACGGTTCTCACCCTGGGAGAAGGAAAACACTCATTTGGAATGGAGAAGGTTAGAACGCATCCCGTGGCGGTGAATTTCAATCGAAGGTACTGATAGGAACTCACGATTTTCTAAAAAATATATTTCCTGAACAAATCCCACCACTGTTTTTGTACAGCCCACAAGCTAAGGATGATTTTTACACTTTTAAATGTAACATGTGAAAAAGACTATTATCCTTTTGGCAAGAATAGATACTCATAGTGAGCACACTGCCTCTTCTGCAGAGCCTAAAACATTTACTCTCTGGGGGGAAAGTGTACCAACTTTTGAACTAGACTATAAAATTGTGAGGAACTTTCAAGGTAAAACAGGAGAAATTAAATAGATGTCATGCTTCATTTGGTTTCAGTGATTAAGTAACTATTAACTGGTTGGTTGTAAGGTCAATTCAACATACGTAAGCATAGAGGCCATCATACATATACTCACATACACACACACACACAGCCTCAGAAATAGGAAGGTTTTCAGACCTCAAAGCTCAGACAAATCATTTTATGTCCTAATTCTCTCCTGGTCTTACCTTCGTTGTGTTTTCACCATTTCTTTCATACTGATTTCTCTGTTGAATTTTCTCAGCAATCTCTTGTGCAATTTGGCAAGTAGAATCGTAGGTGGAGAACCTGTACCACAGTCAGAAAGGGAGAAAAATAAGGTTCTTCGAAAGAAATTTCTACATTATCTAAGTGCGAGTTTTTAATTCTAGTCACAAATTCAAACACGAAGGGAGAATAGTAACAGTAACAGTAATGGCAACAGGTGTTGAACAGTACTTACTACGAGCCAGGCTCTATTCTGAATGCTTCATTTGCAATAACTCACTTAATCCACACAAAAACGCTAGGAGGTGGGTACCATTACCACCTCCATCTTGAGAAAATGAGGCACAGAGAGGTCGAGCAACTTGCCCCAGTGGTACCGCCAGCTGCAAACAAGGTTGTCTGGCTCCTAACCATTTTGCTGTTCTGCTGATGACAAAGCGTTTGTATTTGTTCATTCATAAAACATTCAACAAACATTTACGCAGGGCCTCCTCTGTACTGAGCACTGTTCCAGGCACTGGAGAACACAGGAGCAAACAAAATGGACAAAGTCCCGGCGTTCAAGGAGTTCAGTGAAGGGAAAAGGCATGTAACAGACAAATACAAAATATGTCAGGTGTTGATATGTGCAAAGGAGAAAAATAAAGCAAGATCAAGAGAGTGACAGGCAAGGTGTGGAAGCTAGCCCTGCAGACAGCTGGGGAAGGACTGACAGCACAGGAACAGCCAGTACTGTTTATCCTACAGCAAAATGCTGCGGGGACAAAGGACAGGCAGCCACCTGACATCTAAGCTGACCAGAATTCTCTCAAAACATTTACTGAGCTTGTATTTGTTATCTAGCTGTGGGGGAGCTTTGAAGCATTCACAGTGAATTTCCAATAGTCCCTTATTTTTAACTTCTGTTAGAGCTTTTTTACTTTCTATTTGTTTTACAGAAAATACTTCAGTGTGCATACACATTTCACCTCTCCTACCAGAGACGGCCTAAAGAGCAGGGGCTATGCTGTGCTAGACAACCAACATATTTTCCAGGACTGCACGGGTACAAAATATTGAAAACTGCTATTTGATCTCAGGTCCCAAATTTTGCTTGAAAAAATAAATAATCCATTTCTTAAAATCTTCAAACTCCCACATATCACTTGCACACCGAGGGAACCTGAAAATATCTTTTTGAATGAAGGAAAAAACAATCCCAACCACTTCCCTTAGGAATCTTACTATAGTAATAATAGCAATGGCTAATAACTGAGTACCTGGGCTGGGCCGGGTCCTATATTAAGAGCTTTACATTTTAAATTTCATAAGGATCCTCTGACTTGGATCTTCAACCGCTCACCACTATACTCTAAATTAGCATCATTAATATATATGTATATATATGAATATAGATATTCATGTATATGGAAAAAGAGGTGACACAAGACAACACATAATAAGAAAATAGTAAGGAGGCTGACAAGGAAAATTGGGTCACGGTCCCAGCTTTACACACTGCCCCTTTTTCTCCTCCATATTGTCATCTGTGAAAAGAGGAGTTTAGGTCTGGCTCTGTGCTTCTAGACCGTGCATATGAAAATCAATAAGAAATACGATACACCTCCTGCCAAATGTGGGGTACATATGGTATTTCCAGAGTTTGGAAGTGAGATAAATTACTGCTGGCCAAGGCACTCAGACCTGACAGGGCTGGACCAAGAGGTTACATCTTGGGCTGAGCCACCAGGGTAATGCAGGCCTCCCATTGCAAGACGAGGGAGGAGCACATTCCAGACGTGGCAAATGTGCCAGCACAAGGAGCAAGCAAAGATGGAAGGAATAAAATGTGCCTGGCATGTTCAGCTGAGCGGTGGCCCTCAGTGGTGGTAGGAGGGTAAAGCATAAAACGGTAGAGATGAGTAGAAGCTGGTTTCTACAGAGCCTTGACCACCAGCCTAAGAAGACGAGACTTAAAAGAGAATTGGAGAGCTGTGGCGGATACTCGAACACAAAAAGGGGGGCCTTGAAGAGCTGAAATGCTGAAGGGCAAATCCCAAGTGTCATGGAACCAATCCTCATGTTCTCACTTTAGCCCTAAAAAAGTGGTTCTGCAACTTTGCTACATTCTGAAATAATGAGGGAATCTTTAAAAAACAAACACACACACAATTCCGGGCTTCCATCCCCAAGAATTCTGATTAAATTGGTATGGGGTTTGACCTGGACAGGAGAAGCTGGGAAAGCTCCCCAGGTGATTCCAATCTGTAGCAAAGTTGGGGAGCCATTTCCCTAGTGGTAATGGGCAACCTCATCAAGGTATCCAGCACACGGTGCCTCAAGTCCAGGTTCGGAAAATTAACCTGAACTCCATCGACATAGTCAGTAAGGAGAGAAGAGTGGTGAGAGACCAGGAGAAGACTTCTCCAGCTCTTCAATTCCGTAACAGTCAGCAGTATTTACTATCTGCAAGGCATAAGGCTATAAAGGATTGGACTATGGCAGAAATAGAGAGCACAAAAAAGATGTCAGAGTGTAGTGGCATTAGCCTGTGTGCCCCTTTAAAAACCATGTGTCCTTGAGGCTCCTGTCTGGGCTATGCGCCAGCAGTCACAATGACAACAGTCCTGGGCTTGGCCAACCCAGCTGCTTTCTCGTAGGAGAGTCAGCACCAAAACCCTTGCGGTCTGAGGGAATGCAGAGGCCCTTGCAGAGGTGGGGCAGGGGGAGCGGGGGGGGGGGGTCCTTGGAATACAGGTCATACAGGGACGATCCCCCTTGGCAAGCACGCAGCCTTTGTTCCTCTGCCTACTTAAGCAAGATTCTCTCAGCAGGCAGTAGTGGGTGCACATTGCTGTCCAGCCGGCCGCCACTGGACCTTCCCTGTAAGTAACTCCCAATAAACCCACATGTCTCGTTCGCTGTCTCCGAGTCTTTTCTTTGGTCTCTCAGCAACCTATTCCACCTGCTCACCCAGCCGGGCGTGTGGCGGAACACAGAGATTTAAAAGAAAAAAATCAGTGGACGTTAGCGAATAATCTGATATAAGAAGTGAAGAAAAAATGGATGGTTCGAGTTTTCAGGCCTAAGTGACTAAGAGAATGGTGATGCCACGAGAGAGGCTGAGGAAGCAGAAACGGGAGAATAAAAGAAGTTTACAGATTAACAACTGGGCTCGTGTTCTATCACAAAAAACTGACTATACAGTGAAATTGACATATGTGTAAGATTTACTATAAAATACACTCAGGGGAAAAAGGGTATGGAGGACAGAGATGAAATAAGAATGGCAGAATATTGATAATTATGGAAACTGGGTGATGAGTATAAAGCGGCTCATTATACTATTCCATTTTGTATATTTTTTACCTTCCATAAGAAAAATTTTGTAAGTAAATAAACAAAAAAAAAGTCAAACCAGAATGTCATTTTTCCAGAAATGGTATATAATCAACAAGTAAGTTGCCCTGGCAGTAAAGCTCACTAACTTTAGCAAAGAACCAGTTCGGAGACAGTGGTCACTCACTACTTCTATTAAACAGCGAGCTCACCACTTGCTTTGATATGTCATTAAAATAGTAACTGCTCCAGCTTTGAGCAGTGGCAGTATCGTAGCCAATGAGGTTTACCTGAGGTGCGATTATTGCTAATTAAAATAGTAACTGCTATACTCCACTTCTCAACATTAGAAGGCTACGCAGGAGTAAAGCATCAGTGACCTATGATTTTCAAAAGCATGAAGGCAAAGCTGTAGTCAAGTCTGTTTTTATAGTCCTTTCTACCCTTTCTATTCTCCTTTCTACCCTCCTGATCAGCAACCCACTTTGCAAGGAAGCTGATGCTAGCACAGCAGAGTTCCCCTACTGTTTCACTTTCAACAAATAAGAAAGCCACTAAGTCAAATTACTTGAGAGTAACAGGAAAAATTATAAGTGCTTTTTCAACATTCACTGTGGAAGAAGGCTGGGGTCCAATGATAGCTTCCACCAATCTAAATGGATAACCTGGGGCCTCTACGTTATTTCTGAGCTTTATTTCCTACCCTACCTGTAAAGTGAGAGAGTTAGTTTCCAAGAGGTGGAGGGCAACTTAGCAACATGTATTGAGGGCCTTAAAAATGTTCATACCCTTGGACCCAATAGTTCCACTTCTAAGAAGTGAGCCAAGGAAATAAGACACAAAACAAAGGGGCAGTCTCTGCATTGTTAAAAAACAGAAACAAACCCCTAATATTAAAAAAAGGTACAAAGAGGGGAATGGCTAAATAAATTATGGTCACTCATGTGATGCACTATAAAAAATTGTGTTTCCAGTGAATATTTACTGATATGGAGAAACATTCCCTGTTTTGTAAAACATATATGTGTGTTGATATACATATGTACACACATATATTATATAAGGTAATAAATTCATTTAAAACATCAATAATGGCTATTATTCCAGATGATAGTTAAATTTATTTTTTTCCTCTACAAATATTCAGTATTTTCTAAGTTTTCTATTGGGATCTTAAAATTAGGCCGATAAAAATTAGTGTTAAGCCAATTAAGCCATGAGCCCAGATAACCCAAACCCCAGGCAGTGCTAACTCGGATCTTGCAGTCCATTCTCCTACTATCCAGACTGCAACTTAAACAATTATAAACTATATTAGAAGTACCAGCGTGAGACATATACCACAACAAGAACTTTACAGAGCTATAATATGTCTTTAATTATTGAACAAAGCTCGAGTCCAAAATGCTTTGGCTATCTGTCCCTAGTGTCTTTCATCCTTCAGTCCTTGGACTTAACTGATGAATAAAGGACGTTTATCAGCTATTGTTTTGCTGCAAAAGTTGCTGCCACAGAACCAGTCTTCAAGATATTGACTCAGACAAGGGCAAAATGCCTTATAAACAGATGCATCCTTTCTGTCCCACATTCCTACAAGTTTTTTAAAGGCCCCCAAGATCTGGGTCCTGGCGCCAACTGGTTACTAACTGGCTGGTGACGATGGATTCTGAACCTCGGTTTCTCCATCTGTGAAGGAGGGGGCTCACCAGATGGACCGGCACCCCACAAAAAGGTGACTTCTGCTTCACTTTCACAGGAGTCCAGGGAAGCCTGCACCGCCAGCTCCACAACCAGGATGGGCGGGAAATCCCTGCGGCAAGATGCAGCCAAGCAGGGCTGCAGGAATGTTCAGAGATTCGACACTAGTCCTCAGCTCTCCAGAGGTCCACCTGGTCTCCTTCCCGGGTCACCCCTGCAAGGACCGAGGGTGGCAGAATGCGGCAGAGTCCCCCTCAGCAGGGGAAGGGTCCTCGCTGCCCCTCCCCTCATTCCGAAAGACCTCCAGCCCCAAAGCCTAGCGATCGCCCACTCCCCGGAAGCCTGGCCTCCCGCCACGGACCCTCCGCGCGCGCCCGCCCTTAGCCGGGGCTCACCAGGGGTCCGGGGCCATCCTGCAGTCTCCACCCGCTCCTCGGACACTTCCTGCTCGCAGCAGCTGACTACGGCGGCTCGCGCGGCTCATACCCCGCGGTTCCAGCCTTGCGCAACCGAAACCTAGAGTGTGCAAAGTGAACCTACACCAGGGCCTCAAAGCTACAATAAAGGAAAGCGCTCCCCCAGGGAACAGTAGCTTGGAGCATTCTGCTCCCGCTAAGAGACGCGAACATCTGGGCACAGTTAAAATAAAATTGTTGTTGAACAAAATCTAAGCATTTCCCCAGAAAGGTGGGAGAACCTTAAAACCTCTAGCAGTTATTTAAAATTTTATCCTGCTTAAAACAACAAAAATAAACAAAAAACTGAATTGTGGTCATAGTTGCACAAATGTATAAATTTATTAAAACTCACTCTAAGTGAATTTTGATATGTAAATTATATCTCCATAAAGCTTTAAAAATTTTTTTTTACCCTATTTCGAATAAGGGACCCAAAGAAGTATCAGTTATATATTGTTTTATAGCAGCCTTCTCACCAGAGGTAATCCTCTATGTTTGGTTAATTTCAGATGCCATTAGGTGCTTGATTATATAGCTACGAAAAAGGTCACAGTCTCTTTACATGGGGGAGGAGGGAATTAGTTCTGTGCCTTCAGTGTCCCCTAAGTTTCCAGAGAAATAGAAAGGAAAAAGAAGCCCTCTCTTCGTTTTCAAGAGGGTAAAAGAACTCTGCCGCATGCTGAGTTTCAGCTGGGGCGTGGATCTGGCGCGCATGCGCATGTCCGTTACCATAACGACCAAAAGACGCTGCACTGCCCGAGACGGAGGAAAGTGAGCGGAGTCTCCCGGTGATGGAGAGCCAAATTTCGCCGAAGGCCGAGGTGGCCGAACTGGAGCTGGAGGCCGTGATCGGCTTCAATGGTGAGGCCTCGAGCATGTATGGGCTGGGTGGTTTCAGAACCCCGGGGACGTGTAGTGCTAACAGGCACAGTGAGACACCGGCTGGCACTTGGAAAGCAGTGCGATACCTTGGCATGAGCCCTGGCCGGGGCCCAATCACTAGGGGCCCAGACAGCCCCTCCTGTCCAGAGGCCTTAGAGAGTCACTTCCCTGCTCCAAGCATCAAGAAGTGGCCTGGTTTTTGCCATCAGTAAAAGGAACCAAATTCCTCTTCGCCAGGCCTGAAGAATCAATAAGGGTAGTTGACTTTCTCCCCCTGGCTCAGCCCTCCCTGGCTCTAAGCAGCCCGCAGAGCTGCCCGCAGAGCTGCCCGCGCCTCCGTAACCACCGGATTACGGATTCCGTGTCGGCCCCTCGGACCAACTAACTTCTAAAATCCCAGCTGATGTACTAACGAGAAAGGGCTCGGGGCGGGGGCCGCTTTAGAGGGTGAGCCTGTCCTCTAACCCGAAGGAAGGATTCTAATGGGGGAGGATTTCAGACCACGATGGAAGGCGAAGAGGACGCCAGGGGGAGCTGGAGGAGAGAGATGCTTTGGTCAGAGGAGGCCTCGCCGGTCTGCTCAAATCCTGTTTATGCCTGCCTATGGTTTTCAACATTTAGGAGGAAAAATGCTGTTTGGTTTTTTGTGAAGGATGAAAACAAGCAATGAGTTATATTTTAGAAAAGGCAAACTTTTTAAAAAGTGCGTTGTGATGCCTGAAAGCTTTAAAATTGTAATAATGTCAATGCAGAACCATCAATGACAAGTTTTAGGCACCTTCTAGGACTTGGTCTTGACTCTTTATTTTACTTAGTCTCTGATAGCAAGTGGGCACTTAGTACATCTGAGAGATCAGCCACCTTTCGAGCTGGTTACAAGATCATTGGTAAAGGACCTGGGTGCAGTGAGTGCAAAGGGTCACTCTGGGGACCTGTGTAGGGCCTCACGACAGAGCTCTGCACCTGAATTCATGCTGTTTGGTAGAGCTCGAAGAGTAGGCGTATGGTCAATTCTATCCTGATGTCTTCCGTGGCAATCACTAGTTATCTTGGCCTTTTAGAATGGCCCAAATTGAATTGTTTTTACCTTGGTTTTGTGACCATTTATATTCTTTTATATAATCAAATATACATTTATTTAGAACCACTATATGCTAAGTAGTATGCTATGCCATACTTAAGAAGAAGAGTTTAGAAAATTGAAAAAATACAGTGAAACCAAAAGAAAAATCAGCCATCATTACATTTCCCAAAGATATCACTGTTAAACTTTTGGTGTGAGCCTTTCAAATTTACACTTACGTATAAACGGTTTTTTTTGTAATAAAAATGAACATATGCTGTATATATTATCTTATAATCACAGGTTTTTTTCCACTTAACAGTATGCCATGTAAATCTCTCCTTAGCAGTAAATATACTCTGTATCATAATTTTTAATATATTTTAATATAATGCTCTGTTGCATGGATATGCCATAATTTATTTAAACAATGCCCTATGATTAAGAACTTAGGATAATTTCCATTTTTTTGCATTTATTTTTAAATGCTACGGAGAACATCTGCATAGCTAAATCTTATAACTCTTTAACGTTTTTTCTTTAGGATAAGTTCTGAGTACATCTTAAAGACTTCTGATGTATCCTCCAAATGCTGTCTTATACACAAGAGAAATGTGTGCCAAAAAAAACACATATAGGAATATTTATATAGCATTATTTCAAATAGCTGAAAACTACAACCAAAATGTCCATCAAAAGTAGAAAGGATGGGGCTGGCCCCGTGGCCGAGTCATTAAGTTCGTGTGCTCCGCTGCAGGTGGCCGGGTGTTTTGTTAGTTCGAATCCTGGGCGCAGACGTGGCACTGCTCATCAAACCACGCTGAGGCAGCGTCCCACATGCCACAACTAGAACGACCCACAATGAAGAATATACAACTATGTACTCGGGGGCTTTGGGGAGAAAAAGGAAAAAAATAAAATCTTTTTAAAGAAAAGTAGAAAGGACAGATAAATTGTGGTCTGTTCACACAGTAGGCTACTCGGCAGCAATGAAAAAGAGTGAACTACAGCTATGCACGACAGTGTGGACAGATCTCACACACATAATGTTGAATGAAAAAGCCAGAGGCAAAAGAATTCATACTGTATAATTCCATTCGTATAACATTCTCAAATGAGGGAAATTAATTTACGGGAATAGAAGTCAAAACAGTGATTACCTTTGGGGAGACGTGGACCGGGAGAAGGCACATGAGAAACTTCTAGGGGGTGGTAATAATCTACCTCTTGATTTGGGCTATAGTTAAATGGGTGTGTTTACTTGGTAAAAGTTACTGAGTTTTCCGTATTTTTGTCTTCAATGAAAACCATTTACTTAACTTAAAAAGTCTATACTACCTCTCATAAAAAAATAAATAAGCAAAGCCTTATGAAAGTTTGGGAGAAAGATTCTGTTCTAGGCTTGAGTGAGGTCAAGGAAGGGTTAACTCAAGTAGTCTGTAAAGTTGGGTAGAAGTCAGTGGGTAAAGACTGAGAGGCAGAATATTCCAGATAGCAGGAACAGGGTGAGCAAAGGAGAAAGGTGGAGAGTGTGGGCCTGGTTGGGGAATGGTAAAAAGTCCGGTTCAGCTTCAGTGTCAAAGACTGGCCAGATCGCATAGGAAAGAGAGCCCAGAGTTAGATTATGAAGACATGAAATGCCAGGTGATTGAGTTTAGCTTTCACACAGAAACAAATAGAAGCAACCGCAAAGCCCCTTTTATCATGGCGGCACTAGAACCACTGTAGAGTTACATTAGAGTTTATGAATTTTAACTTGAGGGTGTAAACATGTAACTGTACTTGACTCTTCTAGGTATTGTATTTTGACAGGGGTTTGTTATTTAAGCAAACCAAATATAGTCGTGTTGCTTATGAAAACATTTTATAAAGCTATAGTTATCGAGAGTTTGGTATTGACAGAATAGTCACAGTTCTTCAATTGACTCAAGAGGATAAGCCTATGATTTTACCATTATACAAAGAGTTCTTAAACTAAAACCAGCAACAATAACAAAATAGATCAGGAGTTTGCACACCATTGTCTGTGGGCCAAATCTGGCCCTCTGCCTGTTTTTGTAAATAAAGTTTTATTGGAACCCAGTCATGTGCGTTTGTTTACCTATTGTCTATGGCTGCTTTTACACTACAATAGCAGACTTGAGTGGTTATAGTCCACAAAGCCTAAAATATTTACTGTCTGGCCCTTTATGGAAAATATTTGCTGACTCCACCGCAAACTGTCTGGTCATCTCCTTTGCTCATTTTTCTCTTGGGTACTTTGTGTTTTTCTTATTACTTGGTAGTAGTTCTTTGTATGTTCTGGATATAATCCTTTGTCTGTTAGGTACATTGCAAATATCTTCTGCTTTTGATTTTTCATTTTGTCTTTTGTCATTAGAAGTTTTCAATATTTAACATGACTCTTTACATATACTGGCCTTTTCTATTAGGATTTGCTCCTTTTGTGTCATGTTTCAGAAGTCATTCCCTATAACTTGTGTATACGTTGTCTTGTTTTTCTCATTTAGGTCCTTGATCTACCTGGAAAGTGTTGTTTGTGGATGGTGTGAAGTAGAGATCTAATTTTACTTTTCCACATGGATATCCACATGCTTGTTTAAAGGAGCTTGCAATTAGGAAAAATAAATATATATTTTAGTAGTGATAGATGATTCCCAGATCTCACAAACCTTGGTATTATAAGAACTTACTGCATAAAAGAGGAACGATCACAGAGTGAAAGAAATACTTTATTCAATAAATACATTTGGCCATTTGAGAAAAAATCTATTTAGCTACTGGAATCCCATTATACACCAAAATAAATTCCAGAGGGAGTTAAATATAAAAGATGAATTCAGTAAAAGACCAGAAGACTGTATTAATAAATAGTTATGACTCTTCTGTCGACGAAAATAATCCGTAACCAATCTATAAATGAAAATTTGGGTCAGTTTATTGTGAGCTAAAATCTGAGGACCATGGCCCGGGGCCTTTCTTCCCGAAGGAAGAAAGGGCACCAAGGAAGTGAGGTATACAGAGTGGTTATATACCCCCATACAGGACGTTTCACATATGATTGAAATGTCCCCCCCACAATAGTCAC